ACGAAATTTTTACTAAGTTTAGAGTATTTATGCCATATAAAACTCAAGCAAAAACTTAAAACTCAGATCATGGATCAAAAGAATATTTACAAAAATAGTAAACAATTTCTGACAAAAAACTCCTGATTATAAATGGAAAACTTTAACAAAACTCTCAATCAATTTCAAGGCATGGATTCATATATAATCAGCATGATATCATAACAATAACACATAACAAGCCAAGTCATTAATAAAATTTTCTCAAAATACTCACTTACAGTTGGTTAAGAATTTTCTGGGCAGAATTTTTTTGTTTTCCTGTTCTTAACGATTTTCTTGGATTTTCCTGTACAAGTAAATTTTGTTTTCATATATCAATTAGACGCACGAAATTTTCATTCAATATAAAGGGTTAAGGGTTCCCCTTGACTCAAAATTAATTAGCAAAAGTATTCCCCTAATTTATGAACTATACTCCCCTCCCTTACTTGATTTTGTCTTTGCCTTTTTGGGTGAGGTTACAAGGGTGTGTTGATCTCCTCTTCATCTTCTTTTTCTTGGTCTGGTTTGAGCCTCTTTACTGCCCTTCCAAGTCAGCTTTGAGTTTGTCCAAAAAGGTCCTCAAATGTTGAAGTTCTTTTTTTGCTAAATTTGGTGGTGGGGTTATTTGGTGTTTTTGGAGTTTTTCCTACTTTGTTGGCTTGGAGAGTGACATGGCTGAGTGGCAGAGTTTATTTTTGGCATGTGTTGGATGTGATCAGGTGTGTAGAAGAGTTTGGTTTGGCTGGATTTAGGAATTTTGGCTAAGTCTTCAAATTTGCTCCATTCACACGTGAATTTAGGCCTTGTATTTGGGGAATGCTTTTTAATTTTTTTTCTTGATTTTTATGGGACAGAGAGTTCACAACCATTTAGAGGGGTTAAAGTGGAGTAACTTTGCTGTTGGAGCCTTCCCCAAATTTGGATTTTATCATGGTGAAAAGTTGTCCCTAATAATCATGCTCAAAGTGGATATTTTTGGATCCTTGTGATGTCATCTAGTTGGCCTAAGTTTTTCTTGTTAGTTTGCCTTTAGTTCCTGGTTTATAATTTTAGATTTTCTCCCTCACATAACACTATTTTTGGCTAAGTTTGGTTGGGTTTGATTGACATTTGGTTAGGCTCCTTGGTTAGGGATTGAACCATTGACCCTATGTCATTATCAAGGAATTTTAGTAAACTAAGTCTTCTTTCTCATTGGCTTCCTTCACTTCAGCTGATACTTTGCCCAATTATTGACAAATTTAGTCAATTTTTCATGCCAAAACCATGCCAATTGGGTTGGGTAAGATAAGATTATAAAATTGGAAGTTTTGGCCCATTTGGCTAGCCCTTTTCACACCACTTTGAGTGCTGAATTTGAAAAAATTGATTTGAATTTTCTATCTGAGATTTGGATCTGGTTCTTGAACAAATACAACCTTATTTGGCCCAATAATTTACATAAAAATTTCAGAATTTTTCATTATCATTTCCTTATCCAACTTGGTTCTCCATTCTAGGCCTAATTTAGGGGTATTTTGGTCTTTTTGGCCAATGTTATAACTTATTTTAAATTTTCTATTTTTATTCTCCACAATTAATTATAAATTTTGTAATACATAATTAAGATGGTATAAAATTATAAAAAAAAATTTAGATAATTATTCTTATTAAAATTGGATTATACTAAAATTCGTAACCCGATGTTTCCTTAATTCGTCTGTTTTTTGGGTAAATTCGACTAAGTGTATTTTAATTCCTAACTATATATCTATGATCTAATTATAATTTATTTATATTGATACGATTAGTAATTAACTTAGGAGTAAGAAAATTTTGGGGTGTGACAGGTGATAGCCAATGACTCAATCTAGGGTTTGATTCATAATTTATCTTTACTTTCCTTTGATTTTTACATTAATGTCATTGAATTCTCTTGTTTTCATTTTGTATTTGTGATACTCATTCTCATGGAGGGCTAAATCCTTTGTAATACTTAGTGAGTTCACTTGGATTCTTGAATTCTTAGATTATAAATGTTAATATAATTCCTTTTCCTTTATAATTTCTTTTTTCCAATCTTTTGAATTGAATTAATGAGTGAATGAGAGAGACATTGCTTAATTAACCCTAATTTATTTTAATGAGATTCTTAACTTGGTTTGCTTAATTCTAGGTTAATTTCTAAGGTTGCGTAATCTTAGGAAAAAGGGTTGGAGTCCATTAAATTTGCTTAAATTTGTATGGGGTTTTAAGGTTGATTCTCACTTGTTGAATTAATCTAATTCAAAGGAAGAGGAAGAGTGTTAAATGTCGAAAGAAATAAGGATAGAACCACATGAATGAACTAAGGATTGCTACACTTTATTAATTGAATCTTACCAGTTTGTTTCTTACTTCTTTTATTGAATATGAAAATCAAACAAACCTCCCTTTTTAATTGCTTTCATAGTAAATATTTGTAACATGTTTAATGCATATTTTCAACCAAAGTCATTGGAGACAACCTAGACTTGCAATCCTAAACTACATAAAATTTATACATGTTTTGATTAAGATTGGCAACAAATCTTTATACAAATCTGAGTGATCATCACATAGCTCATAGGTGAATGATGGTGCTAGAAGAGGAAGATGAAATAAAACTTATTTCATATGTGCTATGTCCATTTACTCATATCCTTATTAGATATAGCCATAAAAAATCAAGAAGATAAAAAGAAGTGAAAATAGTACCTTTAACGTTATTAAGTAGAAGTTTAGTATTTAATTTTATTGTAATATCAATGTTATTCAAATATATTTCATATTTAATTATAAAAATATCTAACTTTATGGATTAAAATAAGGAGGAAAGTGAATTTATATAGATTCAAAATTGCCAAACAACAATATCTGACAATCAAAATTTGTCAATAACTATTTTTAATAGTAAAATTTTGGTCAATAATTGAATCATATCCTTTAACTTAAATATAACATTTAATAAGTATAATTTTTTTTAAAGTTAAAAATTATTATTAACAATTTTTGCATTCTAATTGACCAATAAACATAAAAAATCATCGGTAACAACTTTTATTTATTTCTTATGTTATTATAATTCTTTCAAAATTCTATATTTTAATATGTAACAATAATTTTTTATATGAAAAAGCACAAAAAATTGACATCTTGTTTAGACATGATATTGCTTTAATAAATTACATCTAAATTGTTCTCTTGGAGGCCTCTTATCACCTCTTTTGAAAAATAAATGAATTTTATTTTATTTTTATCAAACAATAAACAGAGTAGACACATAGTTTCCTTTGAAATTGATAAGGTAAATTAAGAAAAGTTAAATTTGAATAAAAACTAAGCATGAATCTCTAAAACACTAAAACATTAACATTATCAAGAAGTCTACCGACATTCTTTTTACTTCAATGATAAATACATATTTGACATATTAATTTTTCTTCACATTTAACATATTATTTATGTTTTAGACTTAATTGAGTGGTCGAATTTATGATTTGGAGAATTGGGTTACTATGGACCTTATTGGACATTCTCAATGCATTTATACTCTTGCATCACTTTTATTCTTGTCTGATATATATTACGATATATATATATATATATATATATATATATATTTATTTATTTATCATAGGAAAACTTAAAAAAGTGTTGCAATTCTTATGAAAACCTAACATATTGAATCAAAAGTCTATAGGATAAATTAGATCTCAATGTCAAAACAGAAATAGATGTAGGATTGTTTTGAACAAAAGACCAATTTTAGTTTTTAGACCAAGTCTTAAATAACAGGAGATAGTTTAAACAAGTGCTACTGAAAAGCTATGAGATGCTTCCTAACTTCTTTAACTTTATACAAAACCTATATTATTAATTTAGATTAAAAATTATAACAATAATTATCTTGATTAATTCTATAATTATAAATAATTACGTTGACATTTTTCTAAATTACGGATCCCTCTTTCATTTAATTGTTTTAAAAATACTTTACAAACAATCTATTTAAACTTTTTTTCTCATAAAATTATAAAATTAGAGAAAGCCGTTTTAATTTTTTCTTAATTTAAAAATAATTATTTCTAAAAGAAACAAAATATACTCATATAATTTTTTTTTCAAATTTACACAAATGAGTTTTATGGATAGTTCTTATTAAAATGAAAATTAATTATGTGTTTTATAAAAAAGTTTTACAATAAAAGAATAATATATCTCATAAAAATATTAGTATAAAATTTCAAATAAAAAGCATAAAGTAAAACTATGATCATCACTGTCATTAAAGAAAATCAACCGTAATTATTGCGTAGAATAATAATACTACTACTTATAATAGTAACACATTAAAAGTATATAAAATTAAATTATTTTTTAAAAGTGGAAAAATGTAAAATAAAGAAATAAAACTTTATTTATCATTCATTTAAATTAAAGTATTTTAAAAATATAATTAATTTTAAATCAATAATAGGTAAATGCCTTCTTTTTATCTTACACTTTTTTCATCTTTCGGAGAAGTCAAATAAAAAAATAAAAAACAAGTAAAAGCGAGAGATGTGGGACCCACCAAACTCCCACGCCCTTTGACCCGAAAACGGGGGGGTTTTGCCTGACGTCGCTTTCCGAGATATAGCGCGAAGGCGTTATGACTGAATTCGGGCAGCGGGCAGCACCGCTTGGGCAACCTCACTCCCTTCACTCACTCACCCTCACTGTACTCTCTCTCTCAGCACGCCTCTCTCAAAAGAGATTACTGCAATCTTGAAATATAAATAATTACAGGCCGAAAAAAAAGTGTTCTTTCCGGAGGAAAAAGTGAAAAAGTTTTCCTTTTTTTTTTTTTTTTTTTGTATAACTTAAAAGTAAATGTGAGAAATTGATATTGTTTTTTAGTTTTTTGATTTTTATGAGTGTTCATCTGACATTGGTGTATTTTTGTTAGATCCTTTTCTGGGTGATAATGTGAGAGATTTGGGGATTAGGGTTTTGTGGCATTTTGGGTTTTAGAGGAGAAAAAGGGTGTGTTTTGTGATGTTGTATTGGGAGGGTGAAGTATTATTTGGATCCGAGGTTTCTAGTTACTTAGTTTTTGATGGAGACAAAGTTTTGGGGTTCAGTTTTCATCTGGTGGGTCTTCTCAGCTCACCCATGGTTGTTGATTTCTGCTAACATGGAAGGTTTGTGTTAGAACTCTTAGCTGTGTTGCTCATTTATGAAGGACTATTTGCTTCTTAGTTTGTGTTAATTTATGTGTTTCATTGTTTATGTCATTTGTGTTCTGTTTTATTAAGTGGCTGTGGAATGTAAAGTGTTAGAGTGGTTTTGATGGGATCATCTGTATCTCTTGACTCAAAAAGGTGGTTTTGTCCCAATAGTCTAATGGGTTTTCTATTGGAGAGCATTTGACGACAATGCCTTCCCTTACTGTACTATACACTATGAGGTGCAGTGAAAATGGGTTATGCCTTTTTGGTCTGAGTAATATAAACAAAGTAATGGATGGTTATATGGAATAGAGACAAAGTTCACTGGGCATTTGTCTAGTAGGTGTGTGTGTTGGGGGTAGCGGAGGCTTGAAATATATTGCTCAAATCCAATCAATATGGTGCTTTCTTAGCTGCAGCGTGCAGTTGATTTCTTTTGCTACTTTTCTTCTGGAGATGTCATCAGTGTCTACTTGATGCTCTAGTGTGTTGTGATCTTTATCGCACCTGATCTGTTATTCTTGTATTTTGAAACAGGTGATGCATTACATAGCCTGAGGACAAATTTAGAGGATCCTAACAATGTTTTGCAAAGTTGGGACCCGACACTTGTCAATCCATGCACGTGGTTTCATGTAACATGTAACAATGACAATAGTGTCATAAGAGTGTTAGTTGCTTGTCCCTTGATATCTGTCATATTTAAGTTCATGTGCATTAGAACAGCTTAATTTCATAAATGATTTAATAGTTTCTTTTCTTCCTTTGGTCTAACATCAGTGATCTGGGAAATGCTGCTTTGTCTGGGCAACTTGTTCCACAGCTTGGCCAGCTCAAAAACTTACAGTATTTGTATGTTATACTTTCATCCTTTAATATTTTTATGTTAGTTTTATAGTTTTTATGGATTTGATTAATCATGTGATGACTGTGCTTGGTTCTTTTAGTTAATATTTTTATTTGTCTGTTTAATCTTCTCTTAATATAGTATCATAGGAATGATCTTCCAATAATTAGAACAAACACTACAGTTTAGATCATGGTAATTTCATTGGAGTTGCATAGGAGGTTCTACAATTTTGGAACATTATTTTTTCTACTAGTGGAGTCTTAGTGACTAAATTAGTCCACAAATTTCTACTGCTATCAACATGATTCATTCTCACTTTTTGACGTTTCTATAACAGAATCAGTCAGTCTTAACAATACATAGTTTAGCAGGTCAGACTTTTATGTGATACAAAACTTGATTCATGCATGTTATTATTGTTTTTTAGTTTAATAAAAAATATTATCACATTTTCTGTAGTATATCTAAGTTATGCAAAGCTTGATGAAGCCCTTCATGTTACTAACATTAAAGCTAATATGACTAGCCTTTGTAACTGGCCATTGAGATCATAGCATGGGGACAGAGACAAACTAGCTTTTTATATGAGATTATTTCAAGGGGAACTTTTTTTCCCTTTAGTTTTTAATGGTTTTCTGGTGTTGACTTCGAGTACAAAAGTGTATTTCATCCTATTTATAAGTTAGGAGGGAAACAGGAGTTTAGGGTTGATCTTGACTCTTGGGAATGTTGTATTCATTGTCTCTACACTGTTTGCTGTGGATTATTGATAAGATATCTAAATTTAAAATGGATTTGTCTGAGGGTGGTTTAACTAGAATTATAATTGTGCATAGGTTCTGTTCTCTTTGGTTATGCTATCTTTTTAAGTTTGTGAGATTCAGCAGTTGCATTTGACTTGATCAGAGTTTCTAAAAGAGGTAATTTGAGGCATCCTATGTTTTGGGATTGTGTGGATCATACTCTAAATGTTCTTGTATATTTTAAAAGAAGCCTTTTAGGGAGTTACTCTACAAGAAATTTCCCATACTTCTGAATGCATTTGTTTATTTCCTGAAGAAAATAGTGACCCCAATTTTGTATTATATATGTATATGTATAACTTTTACAGCTGTATTACTCTTAATTCTGGAGGAATGTTCTTGAAACAAATCTGGGGACAGCCTTGCGGTATTTGATAAAATTTTCATTAAATTCTTTAAAAGATTTAGCTAGATGCTGATTTTACAGAATATTAATTTTGATAGCTGATTTTCTGATATCTTCATATTATTTCATGTATTTTTTTTAATTTCTTTTGTAATAGGGAACTTTACAGCAATAATATTAGCGGTCCAATTCCAAGTGACCTGGGGAATCTTACTAACTTGGTGAGCTTGGATCTGTACCTTAACTGTTTCACTGGAACTATCCCGAATTCATTGGGCAAGTTGTCAAAATTGCGTTTCCTGTGAGTATACTTATTGTTGGGATGACTTATTCTATATATGTATACGTGTGTGTGTGTGTGTGTGTGTGTGGACATTCTCTTAAGAAAATATTTATGGTCAAAATTCTGTTATTTATCGACACTATACTTGGTTTGCATTATGTAGAATTTCCATTGATGTATATGAATAGATGAACATGTTAAAGTTCCTTCTTCCTGGTGTAAATATAGAACCATGGTTTTGGGTTTGCTGCTAACTCTGTATTAATAAAAAGAAAATTGTACTACTATATATGCATCATTCCTGATAGAAAACTAACCACTAATAAAAACAAGGGTGTCATTGTTGGTTCTAAATGCATGTTGAAAGACTAGGTTATGTTGATTACTTATAAAGGGAACTTTTGTTGTATTCGTATCTACTCAAAATTTCTCCTTCCCCGTCCCCCACCCAGAAACATTTGATTTTCATTTTTTCCATTAACTGAAGCATGTGCATTTGACTCTATTTATGCATACAATTTTTAATGTGTCATACATGTTTCTGTGAAAAAAAATTTAAAACTATTATAAGAGTAGTTCAAAAATGTAGAAAAAACACTATTTTTATCTTGATATAAATTGCTAGTTTTTCTGTCGTAGTCATAGGGTAGAACTGTAAAAGCTGGTTAAGGTGCTGTTGCCTGTTAATCTGTGTGTTAATGTCTTTTTTATCACTATAGAATAATATATACCTAACACTGTTTTCCTGGTATGGTTGTCTAAGGATAGCCGGCTTAACAACAACAGCCTGACTGGGCCTATCCCTATGTCACTGACTAATATTTCAGCTCTCCAAGTGCTGTGAGTGCTATTTTACCTCAATATGTGGTTTATTTCTTTTCATGATATTTTTATGCAAATTTAATTTTTTTTCTCAATATTTACATTAAATGTAGGGATTTATCTAATAACCATCTCTCAGGCGTGGTCCCTGATAATGGATCCTTCTCATTATTCACACCTATCAGGTTTTTTGCTCAGCCTTAACTATCCTTGCATTAGTGGTTCTGACCTGGAAACAATTTCTGAACGGACTGTGTGACTGTGTGTGTCTTGCAGTTTTAACAACAACTTGGATCTATGTGGTCCAGTCACGGGGCACCCTTGCCCTGGGTCCCCTCCATTTTCTCCTCCTCCTCCTTTCGTCCCACCACCCCTAATCTCAGCTCCAGGTATTCATTGCTGTTTGAAGCTTTAAGTTTAGATTGCACTGTTATCTTTAAAAATGTCATATCTTCTATTTTTATTGCTCTTAGTTATTCAAGTTATTTTCTTAACCAGTTTAACTCAAAGCTCATGTTATACCTATGGTTGTGGCTATTTCAATTTTTTATGTCAGATGTGCGTTATATAATGACTGGTCATATTTCATCATACTTTAATTTTCTATTATTTATTGATTAGTTTAATTATAGGTCTTAATAATTTTTTTTTCATCACCATATCAGGACTCAATACTGTCTTCTGATAGAATTCTTATCAATTTACATAGACATGTTGCACATTCTACATCACAGCATCTTGTTCATTTTTTAACATAAAATTCTTTTTCGTCAAAAGGAAAGAATAAATTTTTATTGATTAACACTAAATCCCAATTTCTGTGCCAAAGTCCCACTTGGAATGAAAAATCGTTGGTCAGTTATATATGTTAATATGTAATCTATGTTTTTGCTAGGTGTTTACAGTTATATTGTTATATATGTTTGGAAACCTCAATAAAGGAAGCAATGATGCTCAACTCCTATATATCTAATTGTAGGAGGTAATAGTGCCACTGGTGCAATAGCCGGAGGAGTAGCTGCAGGAGCAGCTGTATTATTTGCTGCTCCTGCAATTTTGTTTGCATGGTGGCGTCGAAGGAAACAAATAGAAATTTTCTTTGATGTGCCTGGTGAGCTATCCTGTTCGATTGAGTACTACATTGATTGACCATATTAATTGGATGCAAAATGACTTATATCTAATTGCAGCTGAAGAGGATCCTGAAGTACATCTTGGGCAGCTTAAGAGGTTCTCATTGCGAGAACTGCAAGTTGCAACTGATACTTTCAGCAATAAGAACATTCTTGGAAGGGGAGGATTTGGTAAGGTGTACAAAGGACGCTTGGCAGATGGTTCATTGGTTGCTGTGAAAAGATTGAAAGAAGAGCGTACACCTGGTGGAGAGCTTCAGTTTCAGACTGAAATAGAGATGATCAGCATGGCGGTGCATCGGAATCTCCTCCGTTTACGTGGGTTCTGTATGACGCCAACTGAAAGGCTACTTGTTTATCCTTACATGGCTAATGGAAGTGTTGCCTCATGCTTAAGAGGTAGGCCCATATGTAAAATGCTCTTACTCTGGTTTTTTGCAATGAAGTGACCAAGTTTAGGTTTTTAAGGGATGGTTATGAGTTACCTTTCATCTTGATGTGGCTTTTCAGTTTTTCAACTGTTGTGCACTCTCATTCCCTCTTATTGCCAGTTACTATTCCTCTCACTTTCAACTCCTACCTCTGCTTTCCACTAGGTATTAGAGTAGATAGTTGTAAAGAGCTCCAGCTCTGGCATGATGGTAGAATAATAATGAAATTTATATATTGTGGTTTATATTTGCTTGTGATACCTGTTTAAAATGGACTTCTTGCTCCAAAGTGGGTGTTCTATAATTAGTAACATGTGGTTTAGCCGAAGTTTTCTTGTCTCCACCTGTGGTCTAAAATGGCCTTCTTTTTCAAAGTCGTAAGAGTTTTATCTTTTAAATGATGTTTAACAATGTTCAGAATGTGGTAGAATTAGTCAAAAACTGTTAGGGAGTTAGGAGAGGGAAGGGAAAGTTAGTTAAGATACTTATTATAGTTAGTTAGTGGATGGGATTAAGTTAGTTAGAGGGGGTTTGTGAGGTAAATAATTAGGATGAAGTTGTAAGGAAAAGGCATTCATATTTGTTATCATTTGTAAATTGAGCTTTTGCTCTTTTATTAAAGGAGAAATCCTTTGTGAAGGGGGAACGCATGAATGTCTTTTGTTTTCTGTTAATTTCCGTTCAATTAAATAAAATATTTTGTTTTTCTTTCGCATTTCTATTCTTGGATTTGTAACAAAAACCACTCTATCATCAAAGCGTGGAAATTTAGCCCCCTTTTTTTGTATCAAGAGTTAGATAATAACCTAATATTAACTTCACTGGTAGATTTTGTAATCTTTTTACTTGGAAAAAGATTCATGACTTGATTTAACAATTACTTGTGAAAAGAATAGACGAAATAAAATCCTATGCTCAGACTAAAGAGAGAAGAGCGTAAAAATAAAAGAAACTTAGCTGATTTATGCAAATTGAGTATTGACATTAAAGTTACTGTGGCAGCCCCTATGTGTTTGTACTGTGGTGTCATATTCTATGCTACTGTAAATGAAATGAACTTTAGGGCCAAACCACAAGTAAACTGAATTTTTGCTACTGATTTTGCTATATATTTCTTTCCTATGTCAAACCTGTGTGTTCTTGATCTTACACTATTTAGCATTGTGTTATGATCTTGTATTTGTTCTACTCTAGAGCGTCCAGCACATCAGCAACCCCTCAATTGGCCAACAAGGAAACAAATAGCTTTGGGATCAGCAAGGGGTCTTTCATATTTGCATGATCATTGTGACCCAAAGATCATTCATCGTGATGTAAAAGCTGCAAACATACTGTTGGATGAGGTGTTTGAGGCTGTTGTTGGGGACTTTGGGTTGGCTAAACTAATTGACTACAAGGACACCCATGTTACAACTGCTGTACGGGGCACAATTGGGCACATAGCACCAGAGTACCTATCTACTGGTAAATCTTCAGAGAAAACTGATGTCTTTGGGTATGGTATAATGCTTCTGGAGCTGATCACTGGACAAAGGGCTTTTGACTTGGCTCGGCTTGCGAATGATGATGATGTTATGTTGCTTGATTGGGTATGTTGACTGTAAAAGCATATCCTTGTGTTTTTGTTAATTATATTTACCTTTACTGTTGAATTTCCCCTTGGTTATTTTTTCCTTTTTTCAATATCACAACCACAATGATAGCTTAGGAAGAGTAATTATGCCAGTAAATGTAAAAGGAATGTGGAACATATTTCAGTTTTTCCTTTTCCTCTGCCACCACTGTATGCTAAATTTAATTTTCTTACTGTGGTTAGAAATACTTTTGCATTTTTATTAAAAGGGACTTGGATGACATCAAATGTAACCTACTGGATAGGAGAAAGCAAGTTGCATCTGACTCTTTTTGAATGCAGGGTAGGAAAATTATGTTCTAATTAGAAAGAAGAATCACCATGATGCTGAACATTGACAGCTTCTCATTTGAAGTGTGCATTCATGATCTTTCATTAAACAATCACTAGTGTTTGTTTTTAGTCTGTTACTGGCTGACATGGATTTCATTGTTCTTTACTGATTGCTTGTGTCTCTGGGTACATCTCTTTTCTGAAGTAGTAATGTCATATTCAAATCTGACACAGCTGAATATGTTCTTAGGTTAAAGGACTTCTGAAAGAAAAGAAGCTAGAAATGCTGGTTGATCCTGATCTCCATAACAATTACATAGAAGCCGAGGTAGAACAGTTAATACAGGTTGCATTGCTTTGCACACAAGGTTCCCCTATGGACCGGCCTAAGATGTCAGAAGTGGTGCAAATGCTTGAAGGTGATGGCTTGGCAGAAAGATGGGATGAGTGGCAAAAGGTGGAAGTTCTCCGCCAGGAAGTGGAGCTGCTCCCTCATCCCCATTCTGATTGGATTGTTGACTCAACTGAAAATATACATGCAGTTGAGTTATCTGGTCCGAGGTAACTTTGGCACCATAGTAAGTAAAAAAGGGGAAAATAGAATTATTTATGACATTTTTCCAAGTATAAAAATGGGGAAAATAGAACTATTTACATGGGTTTATTATGAAGGTGATCTTTCTGGTGTTTCTTTGCTTCATAGGATAGTTGTTGTTCCATTGTAAACGAAAAGAAACATTTTTTGTTTCTTTGAATAACTTTCTCTCATGTCATTGTGCTTAATTTTTTATTTTGACATGTGGTTTTTTTTTTATTTGCTTTATTTCTTCTTGTAACACAAATTTCTTCATTATGGCGCTCACCGTGGATTCATTTTATGAGTATATTTACTTGATTTTCTCATCTTTTTTCTTTATTTTACTTCCTCTTCTACTTTTTATATTTTGTTTTCTGTTGTCCAATCTCAATCTTCTTTTTTCTTTATGCAGAATCTTGTATGCTTTTTATACATTGTGTCCATGTACTTTTCGTTCGTCATTTCGCCATTATCGATAATTTATTTTAATTGAATCATCTTGGTTCATTTGCTCATTTATTTAGTAAAATAAGATTAAGTATATTTATTTAATAGATTCTTATGTAGTACTCTAGATTATTGTCTTGATTAATTCTGTTGGCGCTATGTAATGTTTTTATTTGATTGAACTTGTAGGTTTCAAAATTGTTTTTGATTGATTATTATATTAGATGTATTCAGGCAGTTTTAGAAATTGGACTAGATAGTCTAAGGGAGTAGTCCCGTAACCAGTTTAATTCACCCTCAATCGAAAAAGATAGGTCATGAAAGTAGTATGAATTGGTAACGCTTCACTGGCTTAAACTGTTTATTTTTATTAAAATATATTGGAAAAAACTTTAAAACACTCAAATTAGTTATATGGTTCGGAATTTATAATTAAATTTAAAAATTTCATATTAGAACAAATAAAATGTGTGATATAATAAAAGTTTGACTTCATTTACTTTGAGAAACTGATATAGGTTCATTAATGTGATGAGAAGTTTCTTCGATTCAAATTTTTATATTATAGATTAAAAAGTTTATATTATTTTAAAATTATTTAATCTTTTTATCAGTTAATTTTAATTTAATGATATCATGCATATTTTAACATATAAAATATAAGATTACATATATAGAAGTGCTTAACTTATTTATAATGAAATGCTTTTTTAGTTGATTTGGTAGTTTTTTTTTAGGCTTTTTTAGTCTTGTTTAATATAAATATATATATATATATATATAATATGTATGATCAATAAAATATGTATCGTAATTTTATGAGTCAACTAATAATAAGTTGAAGATATGGCGAATCACAATTTAAATTTTCTAGTGTCATGTCATGTGCTAATTAAAAATTCAAGTTAAAAGAAAAAAAAAACATAACTTTTCCTTAATCTATTAACACTCAATAATTATGTAATTTTAAGAATCTTTTTTTTAAGATATTACCTCCAATGATTATATAAGGTAAAAAAAAAATATATAAATAATTTATGAGTTGTTAATTTAATAATGATTAAAAGAGAAAAATTAAATTTGGTCTACCTAATTTTTTGTCTCGTTTTATCATATAGATTCATTAACTATATGTGGTATAGTCGCTTATGATATAATTAATTATGATATTTTAAGAGTTATCAATTTCAAACATATATAGCACAATAAGATAAATACCAATTATGAAAGGAAACATGAAATTATTATTAATAAAAAATATTGCATAAAGTCATGTAAATAATTCACCATAACCTTAGCTATAGATTTAGTCATACATAATATAAAACAAAAACAAAACAATATTAAACAAATCCATAAAACTTGAAAAATAAATATAAACTAGAGAAGTCTCTAATGGAGAAGTGATGAGGAGAGCTCTTAATCTAATGTACTCCCAAAGCTCCAATAGTCGTCAATGACGGGCTAATGTCAAGATTTGGGATGTGAAAGACGTGTAAAGGCATGAAAGGGATGAGATGGAAAACAAGATAAAAAATAGAATGTGAAAGATCAAAAACAAGATGATATACCTCTGAGGTCTCTATTAATAGAGTTTGACAATCCTAAGATTTCTTTAGAGTTGAGTTTATCACAGGTGACCACTGTGTGTAAGGCAATAAGCACAGTCGTGCATGTGCATCGAAGCACCCCATATACTGGCTGCTAGGGTCTAGGTGTATTTGTTACTGCAAATCTCTAATTTTCAACCAATTTTGTCCCAAAATGAATCTAAAATCCAACTGTGATTTTTTTATGCTAAACTGCACAATTAATATATAAATTAATATAAAACTTAATTAAAATAATAGTCACACATAAATCTATAGGTTATAAAAGCATGTCAAAATATAGACTTATCAAGAGTTCTATCCCATCATTGAAATGTTGAGAACATTTTTGTTCATGTGTGCGATTATATGCTTTCCATGTTAGAAATATGAGTTGAAAATGATTGGTTTGAGTATTTGAGACTCAAAATTTGACTCAGATTATTTGAATCGAGTTTTCCAAAAAAATAAATAAATCGAGATTTAGATATTTGCTTAAAATAATGAATGGATTGTTGTATACTTGATTGTTCTTTGAATGATAAGAAAGATTATGTATTTAAGATATACAATTGGACTGAGTTTAGAGGTGTCCGACCTTTGACATGATTTGACGATTTTATGAGGAAAAATAGTAAATTATATTATGATGAGAAAGGAAAAGGGTGAAAGTTGTACAATAATGAAAGGTGATGGAAATATGTGTTGATAGTTACAAAGATACGCTGAGAGTATGAAAGATGACGACAATTTAAAAAATCTGGGAGAAATATAAGATGGTGAATACTTTTTGTTAGTTGAGCATACTTAATGAAAGCGAATATATCACAGGCCAAAGACTCATTTTTTGACCATACTTTTGCTAAGGGTTTGCGTTGGCACACATATTTATGTTGCTATAGCTAATCGGCGACTATCTATACATGTTAAAGACCTCAACAGATTTCAAGGACAAAGATTGGTTAAGATAAGAGCTCAATGAATATTCAAAGTATTAATAGACTATGATCACAGTATATGAAAAATTTTTGTATGCATATGAATGATAGTGCTGATATGATTGTTGTTGAGTATGTTTGTGTGTTATTTAAAATATGTGTATTGTGAATTTATTGAATTGAACTTTTACTCTTAATTAAGTGGTGAGAAGAAGACTCATCCTTACAAATATTTTCAAGAAATAAGGATGACCAACCCTCAGAGACCCTCAGCTTATATGTGTATAGAAGGATAGTTTAGGCACTGTAACGGTAAATTATGTTTATACATTCTATGACCATGATCATATGGGAAGACCAGTAGATTTACTTGAGAGCAAATAACCGACACAAAGGTCATTACAGACACTAGAGATTAGGAGGACCTGGCACAAGAAGAGCTAGAAGAGATAAAAGGCTGGTTTGATGAGGATTGATCCTGACTAGGATCATATTCTTAGGATTTTTCGTGTAGGAGTGATATGCTCATTAGGACTTAGTATATTTTGATATTATAATTATGTAAATGAAGTCTTAATGTAATTTTGGATTATGATTTGTAACTACTAAACTTAATTTTATTTAGCAAGTTCTAATGTGATGGAAAATATTTATCTTTTATTTCTTGAATAACTGTGTATTTTCACAAATTGAATAATAAAAGTGAAAATTTTAAATTTTCATTAAAATTTTCATATTATGAGTATAAAGAAATTTATTTAACTCTTTCTTTTTATTTATTATGAAATATAGACAAATGAATAATAAATTAAGAATGACATATTCCATAGCCTATTTAGCCAATTGCATAGATCCCTTTTAGAAGATCAACTAGAGAGAGACGATATGCTATTGGTGATAATTTTGTAGTCTATCTTATATCTTAGTGAGGATGCATACGACATTAGAGATGTTGATCCGAAGAAATATCAAGAAGCTAAATCTTGTTTGTAATTTGAAATCTGGAAGCATGCGATGAATGAAGAAGTGTAGTCCATGTTGGTAAATGATGTATAGGAGCTTGTTGATTTGCTTGAGAATTGTAAAGCAATTGGTTGTAAATGGGTCTTCAAGATAAAGAAGGGATCAAATGGTAAGATTGAAAGATTTAAAGCAAGATTGGTAGCTAAGAGTTTCATACGAAAGGAGGGAATTTACTTTATAGAGTCTTTTTCGCCTGTGTTGAGCAAGGACTCCTTAAGAATCATTATGGCACTAATTGCTCATGACGATTTAGAGTTGCACCAAATGGTTGTGAAGACTGCTTTTCTAAATGATGAATTGAAGGATTTGAGTGAAACTTCCTTTGTGTTGGAAATTGAGATTTGTAATGCCCTGAATTTTGTAATATTAATTATTGTTATTTATATAAATCTAAATGCATATATATGTGTGTATGCATGACTGGATAGGGCTGAAATGGGCTAAGTGCCTAAGTGCAGGGAGTAATTCTGGGCTGTTTTTGCTGCAGCAAGAGAATTCTCGTTGTAGTGAGAGGGCTCTAGGAGGAAGGACTGGAACTGTCACCTTCTCGCTTTAGCGAGAGAGCGACAGTTTGGGGTACATTTCTGGGTGCAGTCTCATTGTAGCGAGAGGGTCTCGCTGTAGCAAGATTCTGCAGAAACCAGGGTGCATTTTTGTCTGATATTTTCGTTGCAGCGAGAGTGCGTGTCGCTGCAGCAAGGTCTCCTTGCTGCAGCGAGAATATCTCATTGTAGCGAGAGTGTCACGACCAGAAAAGGATTTAAAGGGAGTTAGGGTTTGGGGAGGGTTATTTCTTTCTCTCCCTTCAAAATCCCTTTGATCCTCTCGTTCCCAAACCCTTTTTCACCGATTAAATTGCCTCCAAAGCCGTTCGTGAGCTTGATTGAGGGTTGAATCCGCGTGGAGAACGCTTAAAGGTGAGTTTTAATGGTTAAGGTTCTGTTTCTCATCCCTTTTTTCTCTATTTCTGGGTTTCCTTGGATTCTCATGG